TGTAGTAAAATGACAAACCATATAAAAGTTTAATTTTTATTTTATTTTAATGCGACAATTTTTTATTATATTTTAAAATATTTATACTTTAATATTATTATACTTAAAATTAATAATTTAATATCGATAATATAACTAAAAAGACTAATCCACCATTTCATTGCACAGTTGTGAAGTTGTGATATTTGCATACTGTAAGTTTTCTTTCCTGATTTATCAAGAAAATGTTTACTATTAATTGTTCAACTTATTAGAATAATTCGCTTTAAATACATTAAATTAAACCTACCAATAAATTGAAAGAATTAAAAAATCTTCAACTCTAATTTTCGATTCATTTAATTAGTTATATACAATTTTCTTTACTATTAAGTATGTGTTAATACTTAAAAAAATATTTTTGCACGAAGATATGCACTTATCATTTATATGTATTTACCTATCTATCGCACGTCAGACGGATTTCCTTAACACCGGTAATACACGATAAATAAAATGATTAATTGTGGCGTTATTCCAAAAATGGCTTTTTGTGGTTCCGTACATTTCGTACCTACAAACCACTTTTTATACATAATATGTCTATTTATATGTACTTATCAGCGATAAGTACACTATTGTATGTCGCACAATTACAATTAAGTTTCTTAATTGAATAGTTATATAATATGGCAATTCATTTTAAATATATGCAGGGGCGTAGTTTGTGGAAAGTAAATAAGGGATACAATAAAATCTGCCAAAGAGTAATAGCCCCAGGAATATAACTGAAGAGTGGTCGAGCTAATAATCCAAGTGCCAAAATTAAAAATTGACAAAAATCAAAGAAAACTTAAAAAACCAAAAAAAAACAAAGGTATAAATTCTGCTTTATTAACAAGTACGGAAATAAATTGTTCAATTTTTCACATGCGAAAAATCATGTCTTTCTTTCCAATAAGTATAATTCTACGACAATTTTACTTATTTATACTTTTAATTATTTTCCATTCTTCAACCCTTCCTACTTACATTTCAACCCCACTCCATTAGAAATACAGACTGTTTGGGAAATTATGTAGTATTTATTTTCAGATATTTACATTTTTTATACTTTCTTTTACTGTGCTATAATATGATCTAATTTAATAGTATATTCTACCGACTTTGCATTAAAATATATTGTTTTTACTATGTATAATGTATAATACATTGTTAAACTGGCTATCTTATTTATTCTATTTTAAGTTCAGGGAATTTGACTTTCTATTTTGTTATTTTTGTGTCGCCAATACACACAAAACGTGTTAAGTATCGTATTACTGTGACCATTGAATTGGATTGTCGCTATTCAGAAGCGCCCTACAATAGGGTTGATTTATGGGGGAGCACTTGTCCCATAGACTACCTAAGGATAATTCACCGCTATTATTGTCAGTAAGCTTTAATGCCTAGCATAATAATAGCTTTATTCAACTCGCTTGATCGCAAAAATTAAATTTTTACAATAATTTCTCCCCTTAAAAATATTTTGTGTATTAATTGCTTTAATATAATGCACGTTTCGCAACTTGAGCAATCGACTTAAAGCATTCGAGATGTGAACCTACCGAAGAATATTAAAAATAAGTTTGGTAGACCGAATAACAAATGTTGAGGTCCTCAGAAAAATGACAAAGGAAATGGAAATCATGAAGACGATTAAGATAAGAAAGTTACAGTATCTCGGTCACGTTATGAGAAGGGATAAATATGTGTTGCCACAAACCATAATGCAGGGAAAAATACAGGGAAAACGAAGTATTGGAAGAAGACGCATCTCCTAGCTCAACAATCTGAGAAAGTGGTATAATTGCAGTTACGTCGACTTGTTTAGAGCTGCAATCTCAAAAGTGAAAATAGCTGTGATGATTACCAACCTCCTTAGAGGAGATGGTACCTAAAGAAGAAGAAGACGTTTCGCCAACAAATATCGCCAGAATTGCGAACGTTGTTAATTCTAATGAACAAAGCATCTCTAAATGTAGAATCAGAGAATATATTGCTCAGCTTAGAGCAGCTTATAAATCGTATATGGATGTTCTGGAAAACCTGGCTGACGACGTAAATATTCTCGAAAGTGAAGAAGTAGATATTACGTATGAAAAATATATGGATGCTTTATATTTCTTAGAAGAAAAGCTGGAAGCTAAACAGGCGGCTAAATTTAATACCAATTTAAGGCGAACACTTCCAGTAAACACATTGTTCAAAGTACTGATTAAAATATAAATTGCCAAAAAGAATTGAAAACTACATTTTTTTGATGATCATTCACTCCCCTGATGATCAATTAGTTCAAACAGATGACAGAAATAACTATAAGTACTTTGTTTAGTTCTGCAATTCTTCAAGCTCAGACGCAAGAGCTTCAAAAGCCGACTTATGAAATCACCCTTAATAACATTAGTACTTAAGATGTAATAGTCCAGCACCTCTTAAAAAATGTGCTACCAGCAAAAATAGTCACTTTTCAAACTACTCCAAAACAAAATGCGATTACTCGATTAGTGAAACTGTAATATCCGTATCGTCTACGTCTATACTTCTTAACATTTCTCCCCCACAAATATTGCATGAATCAAATACTTTAGTATCTAACTTTAGGAGATTTCATCATCAATCAGCCAATCGCGTCCACTGCTGGACATAGGCCTCCCTCAATTCTTTCCAGTGTTCTCTACACTGGGCCGCTTGTAGCCAGTTTCCCGCTACACGTTTAATGTCATCGGTCCATCTAGTCGGTGGTCGTCCTCGGCTTCTTTTATAATTTCTGGGCCTCCATTCCATAATACGTCTTGTCCACCGTCCATCTTGTGTTCTGGCTAAGTGCCCTGCCCAGTTCCACTTAAGCGTCGTGGTTCTTTCGATGACGTCTTGAACTCCTGATCTTCGTCTGATTTGTTGGTTTGTTATGTGGTCTCGAAGGCTCACGTTCAGCATTGCACGTTCCATGGCTCGTTGTGTAACTCTAAGTTTATTCGCAGATTTTTGGGTGAGTGTTAAAGTCTCTGCTCCATAAGTTTGTACAGGTAAAACACATTGGTTATAAACCTTTCGCTTGAGACACATGGGAATTGAACTTTTTAGAATATGGCTTAATTTGACAAATGCTGCCCATGTTAGACCTATTCGCCTCTGTATTTCATGTGTTTGATTGTCTCTGCTTATTTTGATTTCGTGTCCCAGATATTTGTAAGTGTCTGTTTGTTGTATGGTATTATTGTCAATAGTTATATTTCCACTCATTACGAGATTTGTTATAATTTTAGTTTTCTCAAAGTTTATCTTTAATCCTGCTCTTTCAGACAGACTTTTAAGCGAATGCATCATAGTAACTGTATCATGTAAGTTATCTGCGATTAATACAATATCATCTGCAAACCTTAGGTGATTTAATCTTTCTCCATCTATATTGATGCCCACATCTTGCCATTGAGTACCCTTAAATATTGACTCTAGAGCTGCCGTGAACAATTTTGGTGAAATATTGTCTCCTTGTCTAACTCCTCGTCCTAAGCTGAATTTTTCTGTGTCTTCGTGCAGTCGTATACTTGATGTAGCGTTCTGATAGATGTTTTTGATTACTGTCGTGTACCTGTAATCTATTCGGCTTTGATTTAGGGCTTCCAGTATTGTTTCAAACTCTACAGAATCAAAAGCCTTCTCGTAATCGACAAATGCAAGAACCAGTGGTATGTTGTACTCGATGCACTTTTCTATTAAGATCTTTATGGTATGCAAATGGTCATTTGTGCCATATCCTGCCCTGAAGCCTGCCTGTTCTTTGGGCTGATAGAAATCAAGTTTAGGTGTTAGCCTCTTTGTTAAGATTTTCATAAAGAGTTTGTACATATGTGTCAAGAGGCTGATGGGTCTATAATTTTCTAATTTAGTAATATCGCCTTTTTTGTGTAACAAGACTATTACTGCATTGTTCCAGTCTTTTGGAATTGTACCCGCATGTAAGCATTTAGTAAACAGTTCGCTTACTGATTTTAATAAAATTTCTCCACCTGCTTTTATTGCCTCGATAACGAGTCCATCATCACCAGGCGATCGATGGTTCTTCATTTCCTTTAAAGCTGCTCTTACTTCTGACACAGTAATGGGTAAAAGTATTTCCGATCCCTGATTTATGAGAGTCTTTACTCGTGTCGGGAAATTGTCTTGTGGTCTTTGGCTGGTATAGAGGTCTTTATAAAATTCTCTAGTTATTTTCAGAATGTTTTGTTTATCTGTTGTTGCCTTTCCGTCTTTATCTCTCAGCTTGTATATTTCTTTTTTACTTTGCGTAAGTTTTCTTTTCATTATCTTCAAACCTTTGTTCTCTTCTACTGTTTGAGTAATTACATTAGTATTATATCTTCATACATCTTTTCTAATTTCCGCTGAAATGCTTTTATTTAGTTTTTTATATTCTTCTCTGTTTCCCTTTTCGTTCTCGCTTAGGTTTCGTCGTATTTCCATGAGAGCCCTTGTATCTTTGCTAATCTTTTCACTTTTGGTGTCATTTTTCTTGCAAAATTTGAGTTGTGCGTTTCTAACTGAGTCTGTTATTAATTTATTGTGATCGTCGATACTTAGAGGTTTGGGATTATTACTCTGTAAAGTTTCTGTAAAGTTTAGGAGATTTACACATAGTAAACTTTAGGAGATTTACACATGGTATAACTTATTAACACTCAGCTATGATTTTATAAATGATTGAAACTGCAACTTTTTGATCTCTAAATAAATTTTATATGATATGATATGACATGTAGATTAAAATTTAGGTTTGACAATCATCCAAAATGTGTTTCCAACGGCGACTGGATGTGAATTTATTTGGACTAATTATCAGATAATCAATTTTTTCCGAAAATTTTTGTTACATACGTTTAGTATTAAATGTAACTTTTAATAGCCATTTAAAATATTAATATCTCGTAAACATCTAACTCATTTTTGATTAATTTTATTTGCATTTTGTATTTCAGATTATTGTTCGATAAATCGTCAAAAACCATGGACACCTTCACCGTATGACAATCAAGCCAACTATTTATCATATGCGATGCAATATAAATATATGTACAGCCCCAGTAAACGAAAAGGTGGACAAGTTCGCTTTACAGCGAATCAAACGGATATACTGGAGAAAAGATTCTGTTCCAATAAATACCTGAGCCCGGAAGAGAGAAAAGTTTTGGCTGAATCGTTAACTTTATCAGACAGACAGGTAATGTATTTAAGATAATAAAAACAGTTATTCATTGCGATGAAACATGATTTAAATGATCAAATAATTATCCTTTTCTTCATACATAGTGTATTCCATGGCAATAAGTAGATAAAAAGGGCCAACTATCTTATATTACTTACTTGTCAGACTTTTAAAACTCTTCTCCTATTTCATATTTTTTATTTTATTCTTGTTTGAAGTAAAAATTCCCTCTATTAAGAGTATAAAGTGTTTTTCCATGTCTCATGATTAGCACAAGTTGTCAATCTCACTTGTGTATTTCATTAGCGGATCTGAGTGTACAAGAAATTTTCACAACTCCGAGTAACAACATTTGTACTACATTAATGACTAATAGATTATTATCTGAAGGTGCTACATGGAAAGAAGAGCAGATGGAGTTCTCCACCTTGCATATATGTCGTATATCTGTACTTCTAGCTCTGTCCCATAGTATCTTACCATCAATATTTCTAAGTATTTTCATCTCTGCTGTTTCTAACATCCTTTTTTTTCCTCTCTGTGTCAGGTCTTGTTTCTGCCGCGTATGTCATTATTGGTCTGATGACAGTTTTGTAAATTCTGCCTTTCGTTTCTTTCCCGATATTTTTATTTCTCCATATTGTTTCATTTAGGCAGCCTATAACTCTGTTTGCTCTATTCACTTGATCTTCCACTTCGGTTTCGAGCTTTCCGTAGCTAGATAATGTGATGCCTAGATATTTAAACTCAATCACTTGTTCTATTATCTGACCTTCCAGCTCTAATTTACATCTTAGTAAATTTGCTGTTGTAACCATGCATTTTGTCTTTTTTGGGGAAATTAACTAACATTTGGTATCCTTTTTTATTTCTTGCTTCTTTTATTATTATTTTATCCATGAACAAAAGAGGACTCAGGGAATCTCCCTGTCTTATCCCATTAGGACCTTCAGGAGCAAACATAATAATTAACATCTTTCTGCGTTTTTATTTCGTAGGTAACTAAAAGATTTATTTCGGTATTTTTATAAACGATCATCTTAAATTTTTAAGAAATGGTATTTTTAATTCGCAAAAAATACATATCCATTATAATTCAATATATTTTAATAGAGATTTCTTTTTATTGCAGGTAAAAACGTGGTTTCAAAACAGAAGAGCTAAATGGCGAAGAAGCAATTCTGGTGGCGAGCAAACGCAAGAGAACACAACAGATGATGAAACGAAGAAAACTAACGCAGATAGTAACTGAATCATCTTTCTGTGTCTTATGTCGAAGAGGCTGCTTATTAGCGAACAAGTCACAAGGTGGCACTATTGTATTTTAACAATATATTTGTTATTTTTATGTAAATAAATATCTATTTGTATATAAATTGTTATCTTGTTTTTCTTTTTATTAATGTATTTTTAACTGTAAGAAAATATAATGTATAGAGCAACGGAGAACTGATAAAAGCTCAATAGAACTATACATTCACAAATACAAGACAGCTTTTCATGTGCTAGACCAGAAATATTTCCCAGTGAAAACTATATTACCTTTGGATCCAGGCTTTTCTGAGGTCGCGGATGTTGCTTTTTGGCACCCCCACGACTAGTGGCAGATCTAAACATTTGCCTTGGGGAGAAGTTTCAACTTGGGGGAAGGGACCTTTCAGCGAAGCACCAACCAAAAGACATAAAAAAGTTAAACCCAAACTACATAAATAATAGGTGTTCTTGGATTTTGTACCCTCTTGGGAGGGGTAGACATACGAAGTATGTCTAAATAGCTCATATATTGCGACAGAATCTGATTTGGCTGATTTAGACTTCGAAAAAGAAAGAGAAGTTGTTGATTTTGCAATTATTTTAGATGATTCCTATGTGCCTGAATTAGACAGCTCATTGGAAAAAAATTAATTTTTCTTTCCGATTTTCTAGTAAATACCTATAGATTTGTTTTTAATTGGTAATTTTAAGATCTTCCTAGTTTCATCGTTTCTTTACATACTCGAAAAGGCGAAACACGTGCGTCGTTTGCTCATGTTTCGGCGACTGTAAGGTATTCTTGAGCCAAGGGCACGGAGTGACGTTTAGTTGCGTTGTGCCGTTCGTCTGTTTCGTAGTTTCGATAAGGCTTGCCTTTCGAATACTTGGCTAGCGTTCGTGTACGTTTCGAACGTCAAATTACCTCGAGCCTGATTCGATTCGAGGACACAGCTAGGCGGGGAGTTTGACTGGAGCGGTATATCTGTCAAAGAATATCACAGGTATCCTAAGGCCAGCTTAGCGAGGACAGAAACCTCGCATAGAGCAAAGGCTGGCTTGATCCTGATGTTCAGTATGCATAGGGACTGCGAAAACATGGCTCTTTCTATCATTGCAAGAAGCAAGAGAAGCGAAGCAGAATTCGCCAAACGTTGGATTACCCACCCATAGACAGGGAACATGAACTGGATTTAGACCGTCGTGAGACCGGTTAGTTTTACCCTACTGATGACTAGTCGTTGCGATAGTAATCCTGCTCAGTACAAGAGGAACAGCAGGTTCGAACGCCCCTAAGGCCGTATCCTTTCTAGTCAAAGGTGGCAATGATATCTCTTAGAGTTCCGAGAGTTGAAAGGCTCAAAACAATGTGACTCTATTAGACAATCGTAGTTCGATACGATTATCGCACGAGCCCTTATTTCCGTTGAGATTATCGGTTTACGGTGGGATCGATCCTTGCTAGTAGACCAGATCTTTACACGGACGAACATGGGTAATATAATAGTTTCGATGTTGGAACTCGGAATTGTCTGTACTTCAGAGAATAACTGCGATCCAAATAATACTTTGGCGAAAGACATAACACAACCAACTACACACTAGAAAATGTGACCTCCGCAATTGGTAGAACATAAAAAAATATCAAAAACTTGAAGCCGAAGTAAATGCATGAGACGCATGAGTTGTGCAAATTATTGATCGACTGATTTTAACCGTTGAAAAGATTTTGTTTTAAGTAAAGTTGAAACCCATTTACCTGAACGAAGAAGATCAAAAGTAGGAAGTGTTAAAAGAACAACGAGTAGATTATTAACGATATTTTCTCGAATTTATTAATAATAGAATGAGATTCTGTAGATTTTTTTATAAAAACACTATACATACAAACAAGTTGTTGAAAATGCCTTTTCAAATGTTCAAATGTCAAAACACGTACACCTTCTTTTATCCAGTTATCGTCTCCAGTACCTAATAACAAATAAACAAAACAAAATAGCACAATTTTTTCTTCACATTTGCAAAATCATAACGTCTTGTCGTAGACACCTAAGTCAATCTCTGCTAGATGTTTATAACCAGGTTGAACTTTTCTTACATTCAATACCGGCATAGGTTATTATTTTTTTTTAATGTTTACATTGTCCAGTAAACTAAACTCAAAGAACTGAAGTTAGTTCCATTATTTCACAAACTTTCCTTATTTCTTAAGTCTTTAACTTCACTTTACCACCACAATAGAATTATGTAGTACCCATGGTACAATGAACACAAGGTATGATACATAATGTTCCAAAATCGGTTCGCTTTCGCGCATAACGTAGTCAAGACAGCTTAATCTCGCAATATTTGAATGTAGTTGTAAAGACTTTTAATTTTAAGTTTTTTATATAATTTTTCTAACTTAATATAGTAATTATAAAGACATAATAAAATTATGTTATTATAATATTGTCTTATAAAGACATAATAAAATTATGTTATTAATATAACAGATGGTTATAAAGTGACATTCTGGAGACCCCGAGAAACAAAAAGAAGCGTGGGAAGACCTAAAAAGAGATGGATAGACGATATAACTGCTGTAGCTGGAAAGCAGTGGATGAGAATTGCAAAAGATAGGGAAGCGTGGAAGCAATTGGAGGAGGCCTATGTCCAACATTGGATAAATGAAGGCTGAAGAAGAAGATTATAATATTTTATCATAAATAAGTAGTGAATTGATGCCAGCTACCAAGCATGCAGATGGTTGTGATGTATCTGATGTGAGATTTATTTATTATTTTCTTAGAAAGATAGGTAAGTAATATCCTTTTAGAATAATGTAAAACATTATACCTACTGAAAAGTATGCTTTTCTTTTCTAGGCATAAAAATTGATTGTTTCATGCACTGATATTTTTTATTTTTATGACTAATAATTAATAAAAATAAAGACTTAGACTTACGTCGTTGACTTAGAAGTGATAAGAAGCTGCTCAACATACTTTTTGGACTTTCTCTATTCGGTCCTTTGTACGCGTTTCTTTTGGTTGGTTGAAAGGGTAGCCAATTTTCATTTAGGCAAATAAACACAAGGTACTGCCTCAGGTTTGAGTTTTAGACCCTTTTAGAAACGTAATTTAAAAGTTCCTGTTGTAGATTTCTTTGGTAATCTCAAGTTTTAAAATATTTAGAACAAATTCTTGCAGTATTAAAATTATCCTGTCTACAACAAGATATTATCCACAGTTTTCTGGTCACACTATCTTTAGGAAATGTATGAAACCTAAAGATTTTATCTTCATTTTCACTATTGCAACAAGCAACTGCGCAGCGCATTATGAAAAAGGTACAAAACCAGATATACAATGGCAAATAAAAACTTTTAGTTTTGCAAAAAAATACTATACAGTATAAATAAACGGTAACTAAACACGACAAGTACACACAAGTCTCAGACACAGGCACGCCTTACTGGTAATTTTTTACGCGCTCGTCTGGGATAAGGGCGTCAGTTAAATTTTACCCATCAAAATTTTTAAGCCCCTGCGAAGTGGATATTTGTATAGAGACATATGTATGCATATATCTAAATTATTTTTCTATTATCAAATAGATGACTGAGTATTGAGTTACTTTAAACTATATTTATTATCTCATAACTTGCAATTTGCAATCGTGACCATTGATAATCGATATTATTGTCGAACTTTTGTTTTTATACAAGCCTTCTGTCTTGTCGGTGTAAAGTCGTCTGAAGTCGATATTTATTATGTTTTGCGTTTGAGCTAATTTGCGCCTTATTTTCATATTATTATATTGTTTGAAAAGTAGGAATTGTTGTGTTGTAGGTTTCTGACAATGAATCTGTCAAAATATGCACGAGCTAAGCGAATAATGGGTTCGAGCGGTCTTGACTACGTCACACTCCTGGGTCAGCTGTCAAATGGCATGCGCAATAATACCTTGTATTCATTTTACCATGTGTAGTACCTATCTACGCGTAATATTTGAACAACTGAATGGTAAGTTTTATCTCGGGCTGCTTTCTGAACGCCCATATCATCGACTTAGTTCTGTTTCTATGAAACCTATATAGTTTATTAAAAAGATTATATTTACTGAGTGTCGTTTTCATGGTAACCGCATGCCTTTATCGGGAGTTATGAAATCAGCCCCGAATATAACGCAGACGCTTAAAAATTGTAATTATTCTAAAATTTAGCTGGGTTAGATGTGACTGAATGTTAAAAGTGACTGAAGTTTCAACAGAAAAGAGTAAAAATATGAACATATAAAATACAATTCACTGTTTGTACACCGTTTTTCTAAAAAAAAACGTCGCCTCGTAGCTCCTCACCAGCCGCCACTGTGTAGAACCTGTATGTTGTGGGTTTATAAATAAAACAATTTCGTATTAGGTGAATTTATTTACAGCTAATCATTTTTTACTGAAATATTTTATGAGAAACTTGCGAAAATAATAGTAATAAATTAGTATTGATTTATGAAAATAATAAATATTGACGCTTTACACAGATATATCGAACCTCTCAGTAAGGACGTCTTAGTCTCAATCAGCGTTATAAAAATGTATATGTGATATAATGATTGATATTGTCATCAAATACATTTTTACATGAAATATTAGATGATGGCGCTCTTGCTGCTCAATTTTTGTCAATTGTGGTAATGTGTAGAGTTTTATCAATTTATCACAAATTCATTTATACACTCCACTGTAGATTATCAGGGCTGCTGTTATTACCAGAGTAGGATTGGTTTTTTTGAATGACATATATTTCTCATTATGTAAGGGAAACAATTGTCCATATAAACCTGAATCTTTTATATTAATAATAGATCTTAAAAATTTAAGTCTTCTACCGTATAAAAAGTTAACCCACCATATCAATAAATCCGCTCCTAATCTTTTAATTCTGCTAAACTCACAATAACAACATCAGATATGCAGATGACACCATAGTATTTGCGGACAACTTAGAAGACCTACAAGTT